CGCGCGGGTTTAGCGGCGGCTGATGAGGCCCCTCGGAGCTCGCATAGCTGCTCAGAAAGGCGTCCGAGCGGGCAGCATTGTGAAGTCCTGGTGAAACGGGCCTTGGGCTGTGCTGAGGTTTTGGGGAGGGAAATTGGAAGCCCTCCTTTGAAAACAAAGCTTTAATGTATAGCTGAAGACCTTAAAGCAAGGGTAGCCCAAGAAATGCTGTCAGGGAGCAAAACAGTTTCAGCTGAGGATAAAACTCTCAGATCTCTCCTTGTGGATCACTGGCACTGTGGGAAGGACCAAGGGGAGCTCTAATATGTGGGCTCTGAGTGTGCTTTCTATTTTGCTTCCAGGAAATTAGGAGTGATTTTTAAATATGCAAACAGATAGTTCTTAAAAAGTTACTCCAGTGGCTCCCTGTAACTGATAATCAAGGCAATTGTACACTGTACTGTAATTTTTTGTGGGCCTATGGTAGCATGAAACCAAATGCTTGTGGTAATATGAAATTCTGCAAGAACAGCCTCATTAACAGTCTGCTTGGCCTGGGGGGGTGCAGGTCTGCTGGACAAGTGTGTGTGGAAAAGTCCATCCTATTCAGAGCTAATACACCATATGCTACCACCATCATTACAGCTCCTGGCGGACAAGAGCTGTTGTTCTGCGTGCATCCCAGTGACTGTAAGTGACCTTGCTCTCTATGTGGTGAGCTTGCGGAGGGCCTCTGCTCAGGGAATCTCCTTTCACAGTTTATGTCATACTTGTTACTAGCTATCTCAGCTGCTATAGTTCCTGAGAGACCATAGTGAATCAGGATATTGCCACCAAAGACAGACAAAAAATTATCTTTGCACTCAAGTTCTCTCTGGCTAGACAAAAAGCCTATTTCATCAGCTGCTTCTGTATCGGAGATATCTTACATATCTTATTACATATAGAGTAGCAACCCACTCTTTGTCGTTCATTGGGACTCATTAGAGTCTCTTGCTTAAACACATACCGTTTTCTGCATTTTTGTCTAGGAGTTTAGGCTCACAGTCCCATCTACTCCTGAGCTGTATCAGGAAACCATAGAATAATTTAGGTTGGTTGATCAGCGGTCATCTGGCCCAACTCCTGCTCAAAGCAGGTGTAGTTTCCTATTATCTAGTACTGCACTCAGTTTTTCACAGCTGTTACCTGAGTATTTTGAATACAGGGAATAACAAAGAAATGAGGTGTGTAGTATAACAAGCAGAAGTGGTCAAATTTTACCTATTCCAGTTTTCAGTAGGTCTAAGAGAGAAGAGTTTTGATGAGGGCTACAGTGTCATCACTGACATTCCAGTATGTATCTTATAAGTAGTTATTTTTTTTCCCTTTTCCATACTGCTCAGAGTATTATTAAAAATGAGAGTAGAAAGATTCTGGATCTGTTATCTCTCCCACCTCCCTGCCAAAAGGAGGGATTGTCTGTCCAGATCAATGACACCAGATTGTTTTGGCCATTTGGACATGTACTTTTTAAGTATTTGGGCCCTTACCTGTCACACGATTAGGCCTACGATTAGGCCTACTGAATAAGCCCTAAACATTTGATAGCACATGTGTTTTAGGTGTAGTACATCCAGGCACAACTAAGTTCAGTGCTCTCAGCCTTTCTCGTGGTTGTTGTCAGAAGAATGTCTTGGAAAGATTGTCTGGCATCAGCTAAAGGATGATAAGGTCTCCTGGTAGGAGCAGTTTGCTGTCCTGGTCATCCTCCAAGGAAGCATCCAAACAGAAAGGCTCCTTGTCAGATGACTGTGAGAGAAGCCTTTCTAACATGACTGGTGACATGAACTGCCATTGCTGGATACATAATCAACGTTGCCCCAGAGGACCTCCCAGAAGGTGGCAAGTGGGACCCTCTACTGAAACTAATGAATGACTGTTTTGCACCAGGAGGTGCTGGTTCGTTATGATGCCAATAAAAAGGTGCTCAATATCTGTAAAGTGCCACTTAAAATGCCATTTATTGGATTTAACACTATAAGGAAAAAGAGGATCTGTATAGATAATCTTACATCCCTTCAGATGCTGGAAACCCCAAGTTGTGCAGCCTTGAATGGGCCTCTGATCAGGATGCAGCACATCATGTAAATCTTGTCCATGGAAAGACAACACAGCTCTTTGGTCTTTTGAATGCTCATAGGGTTTTCTTAAAAGAAATCTGCTTTGTTCATGATTTCTGCTCTTGAGCAAAGGTCTAGATGACCTCTAGAGGTCCCTTCCAACCTTAACCATTCTGTGATTCTGTGATTGTGTTTTTAGATAAAGACAAAGACACGCAGGTGGTATAAAAGGTCATGTGTATCTGTTTACATCTAAGGATTGTACCCTTAAGTGTAAAATAAGAAAACTCTTCTACTCATCTGTTACTGTGTAACTTGTAGGGACTTAATACTCTTTAAGACTTTATCTTCGTAAAAGTTTTAGTTGACAGTTCGAGTAACGCTATGATAAGATCCAAGAAAGCTATTATTTCTGCTTACTCCTTTATGCAAGTACGTCCAAGGATTTGCTTTGCCTTCCTAACAGCAGAATTACACTGAGACGTAATTCATTTTAATTTCATCTTTTCTGCTTCTTTCTGTTGCTCTCTAGTGTCTGCATAAATCTGTTTAAAATCTACATAAATTCTTTATGGTACTGCTATAACTGAGGATGATGCTACTTGCTTCTGTTGTCAGTATGACTTGTAATCCTTGAATGCATATGTAAGATGTTACATTAGGATATATTAAAATATTTATTGTTCAAAGGAGTTCATCGGGATGAGTCTATATAGTTTGTCATTAATCATCTGGCATTTTGTGACTCTGTTTTAGTAGTAATAAGTTAATAGTTTTTAACATTAATAATAATATTAAGTAACCCTAGATCAGGAAACAATTCCTGTGAGATACCAGTAGAAAGCCTGTCTTTTTACAGAATCTGAGAATTGTTAGGGTTGGAAGGGACCTCTAGAGATCATCTAGTCCAACCTCCCTGCTCCAGCAGGGACACCCAGAGCACAGGGCACAGGGTGGCATCCAGGCGGGTTTGAAGATCTCCAGAGCAGGAGACTCCACAGCCTCTCTGGGCAGCCTGTGCCAGGGCTCTGGCACCCTCACAGGAAAGAAGTTTTTCCTCATATGGAGGTGGAACTGCCTGGGTTTCAACTTACACCCATTACCCCTTGTCCTGTCACCAGTCACCACCGAGAAGAGCCTGGCCCCATCCTCCCTACATTGACCCCTCAGGTACTTGAACATGTTAATCTAATCTCCTCTCAGCCTTCTTTTCTCCAGACTAAACAGGCCCAGCTCACTCAGTCTTTCCTCA